ATCTATTATACTTTTGAAATTCAAAATTTTACTTAAAAGCTAAAATAAATTAAAATTTATAATTTGGTATTAAAAATTATACTTTTAATTAATAAAACATTTAACAAATTTAAAATGAAACGACATAGTTGATTTTAAAAAATTATGCACTCATTTTATAAATTTTACATTCATGTTGTTTTCCACTCTTTGATTCCAATAATTAATTATTACACACTTGCATGGTTCAAATTCATAGCATATAACATAGGTTCATTATTCAAATTCATGCATACAACATAAGTTCTAACAACATAAAGAAACTGATCTTGCGTGCCCAAGGGTGGATGATCTCTCACCCCACAAACTTTTACTAACAAACTCAAAATTTACATTTTTCCTTTTTAAAATACATTTTAAAAGTAGATCCCCATATCTAACATATATAAAATGCCAGTAATAAATGTTTTACTTGATAGATCAAGTATACAATGTACTCTTATAGGTGCACTTTAGACAATATACTTTTACATCTTCCATCTTCCATGTCTTGGGGAGTGGTGTATATCATTATTCTAAACTAGCCAATACTTTAGGGGGCACGTGGATTTTAAGACATGGATTCCTAATATCTTGGATTTTGCCAAAATCCATTGTTTGGATTGCTTAATGACTAGGATATTTAAAATTAAGAAAATCAAAATCATGGAAATAAGACATATTTTTCCATAATTTCATTTCCACACCAAAACCTGTTTTTAAGCATTTCCTAGGCCCATGGATTTCACTCATTGGCTCCCTCAACCTAAAACATAGGGAGCATTTGGTAGGCATGAAATTTAGATAGAGAAAGTACCTAAATTTTTTAAGAAGAGAAACTATCTTAAAATTTTTAGAGAGAGAAACTATATCAAATTTTAACTTTTAGAGAGAGAAAGTATGTTAAAATTTTAGAGATAAAAAGTATGTTAAAGTTTTCCTGGGAGAAAGAAAGTTAAAATTTTAGACAGAAAGTAACAAAATTTGTTAACAAGATGAACTATCTCAAAATTTTAAAGAGAGAAACTATCTCAAATTTAAAATTTTAGAGAGAGAGTATATTAAAGTTTTAGAGAGAAAAAGTACCAATTTTTTTAGAGAGACTAACTATCTCAAAATTTTAGAGAGAAAAACTATTTCAAAATTTAACTTTTAGAGAGAGAAAGTATCATAAAATTTTAGAGAGTAAAAGTACCAATTTTTTTTAGAGAGATAAACATTCTCAAAAATTTTAGAGAGAAATAATATCTCAAATTTTAAGTTTTAGATATAAACTATCATATTTTAGAGAGAGAAAGTACATGCAAAGTTTTAGAGAGAAATGATCTCAAATTTTTAGAGAGAGAAACTATTTCAAAACTTTTAGAGAGAGAAACAATCTCATATTTTAATTTTTAAAGAGAGAAAGTATATCAAATCTTAAGTTTTAGAGGGAGGAAGTATTCTCAAAATTGTAGAGAGAGAAAATATTCTTAAAATTTTAGAGTGAAATTATTATAAATTCTAGAAAGAGAATGCCAAAAAAAATAGAGGGAAATATCTCGTTTTTTAGAGAGAGAAACTATCTGAAATTTTGAGTTTTAGAGAAACAATCTCAAATTTGGAATTTTAGAGAGAGAAAATATATTAAAATTTTAAAAATAAAAATTATAACAATTTTTAGAAAGAGAAACTACCTAAAATTTTTTAGAGATAGAAACTATCTCAAAAATTTTGTTTCTATCTCTAAAATTTTTGGAGAGAGAAACTATCGCAAAATTTATATTTTAGAGAGAGAAAGTATTTTAAATTTTGAAGAGATAAACTATATCAAATTTTAGATAGAGAAAGTACATGAAAGTTTTAGAGAGAGAAACTATCTCAAAAAAATTTAGAGAGAAACTATCTCAAAAAAATTTAGAGAGAAACTATCTCAAATTTTAAGTTTTAGAGAGAGAAAATATCTAAAATTTTAAACTTTAGAGAGAGAAAGTATATGCAATTTTAGAGAGACACTACATCAAATTTTAAAGAGAAAAACTATTTCAAAATTTTAGAAAGATAAACTATCTCAAATTTTCTATAGATACACTATCCCAAATTTTGAGTTTTAGAGAGAGAGTATATACAAATTTTAGAGAGAGAAATTGTATCAAGTTTTGTTACCAAACAATGGACGTGGAAGTGATTGCAAGGAATCCATGAATTTTGTATAGTTTATCCAAGCAAGTGCTTTGATAAATCCACGATAAAATTCCTTGATATTAAAAATCCATAGATTTCCTTGGATTTCAAATATATAAGATTCCTAATTTCCTCGTATCCAAACGGGCCTTTATTGTAAAAGACAATACTCTCATTGTATTTAATAATATACAAATGTATAATATTTTCTTTAATTTGGCATTCTATTGTTGTCATCAAATTTATTTATTATTAACTTTTATAGAATAATTAAAATTGTGTGAATATAACATGCAATTACAAATTTTACGCAATAAAATTAAGACATGTCGATACATCTATTACACTTTTAAAATTCAAATTTTACTTAAAATTCATAATTTGGTATTAAAAATTATACTCTCATTTTGATAAAATATTTCACATATTTAAAATAAAACAACATATTTGGTTTAAAAAATTATACACTCATGTTACAAATTTTACATTCATGCTGTTTCCCACTATTTTATTCAAAAGCTATTAGCTTTATATAAAAATTTATTATTAATTTATTACTATATTATTTTAAATATTTATTTTCAAAA